GGCATTGTTCCACCAAGCTAAGAAACTTGGCTGTGACTCACAAGGAAAGAAAAAGATAAACACTGACTAAACCAATGGGTTTCTTTAGGAAATCTACTCAGTCACTATACATTAAAATAATCATAGCTACTCCCTTCTATTAAAAATAATGTTTATATGGTCCTTTTAGTAGGTCGGTTACAAGGTGGCTTGGTAAATGGATTTCTTACACATCCTACTTCTGGAATCAAGCAAAAGACAGATGAAAAGGGGAAGACAACAGTATCTTGAAATAAGCAGCCCTCTATCAGCAATGTGCTGCATTCATTATATAACACAGTGTGGGAATCTAAGGCAAGGGACAATCTTGTGGCTTATTTATAAATACAATTTAGGAAGTGGTCAGTATAATTTCAACCTCTTTGATATTTTAAATGTTAAAGAGGTACATTATAAGACCTGAGTAACCAATGCTTCAATAACACTGTGTGGTTTTATCAATGTTTCCTGAAGAGTGTCTTAGATGTTAAAGAAAGCCTTTCAAGAAAAAATGTCAATAACTTTTTAACAACAACAACCAAAATAAAGTCCATTTGTTTTTCATCATTTCTTTTAAATTGGCTAATTTTAAAAGTTATTATTCCTTTTTTGTCCTGTATATAGATCACTAGTTCGGTTTCCTCTCTTACAGGTTTCTTTTAAGATCTCAGCTTGTACAAATGTCAATTACAGCATGAAAAATATTTCTGAGTTTTCTACAAGTAAGAGATAGTTGAGTATTTAAAAACGTGCTTGTGCAACCTAGCCATCTCAAGCAGAATGAAAAATTGAGGATATTGAGCTTCTCCTTCTCAAAAGGTAAGTGGTTCATAAAATACTACCTTCTCTATTTTCTTCTTTCCTGAACTCCTTTTTTTCCCAAAAAGAAAAACACTTCCCGTTTTCCACAAAACTGAAATAAACTTCCAATTTTTCATAATGCTTAAAATATTCAATAACCATAATTTCTAGGTAAGGGATATTAATTTGTAGTTATAATTTTTCAAAATAGCAATCCAGTTTACTGTCACTCAAATGAATCATTTCTGCCTACTTGTTAAGGAATTGAAGACAGCATATGAGTAAAATGTGCTGCCCAAAGACAAAATCAGGTTGAAGGACTTTGAAATATTTTTTGTCTTTTGAATCTAAATTTTAACCTAAAAGTCCTAAAAACAGTTACTTTCTTCCAGATACTTAACCTCTACCCACAAGTTTACTGCTCCCTAGAGCCCAATTTAGATTAATAGTTTGCATAAATAATTGAAATTTAAATAATGGAAGGTATCCTAATAATGTTGTAGATACAAATCTAGTCTGTAAGCCCTAGGGGCAAGGGCCTTCTAGGAGATATTGCTCAGATGTAATGAACTCACCACACAGTCCTCAAACCTTCCTTCCTAACGGCTTGATTGTACTAGCCAAAAATTTGTCTGAACAGTCCTATAGCATTTATACTTTAACCTTTACAACTTCTTAGAATAATAACACTGTTTATTTACTAGAACCACATGCTAAGAATTATTATAATTCCTTTTGTCTAGAAATGATCTTGTATCTTAAAACTAAAAAGAGGAATTCCTTGCTTCTTTTGAGATTTGGCTATAAAATGTGTGTGTATCCATCCTACTCAGCAGCCCTTATTATTTATTTTATAGACTTCGAATCACCAGTAACAACTTGTAATGCTCACTCACAACAGACTGAGTCAACTAAATAAGGAAAATAAAAATCTAATCTCAAGAAGTGTGACATGATAGCAAATAGGTTATAGTGGCTACTCTGGAGCACAGAATACAATGCTGTTATTCTGGGAAACGGCATCTAAAGAGTTTGGGGCTTTATTAGGAAATCCTTGGGTATAAAAGTGATGTTCAAATATGCCACACTTCTTGCTCTTTTGTTCCACATCATCAAAAAGTGTTCTGGGAAATTTGTAACTGGCTGAGATTTCAATTCATTAGTGATATCCATGGACAAATAAATGCCTGACATTTTCTCTTTGCGTCCATTTCCCTCTCATGTCCCATAATATCCTTCCCCCCCAACCCACCCTTTCTCTCTGCTCTGTGTTTTGTTTCCACATCTGTGTTTTGCTCCTTGTGTGCAAGAGAGAGAAAAAGAGTTTGCTTCCTCTGTGTCTGTAGGGTGGTGGACACACTTTACAGACAAATCTCAAAACAGGAGAAGTAGGAAATTCCTCTTTTCAGTTTTCTGGATGGATATCTGACCATCTGAGTGTTTACCTATGTGCCTGTGTAATATCTGTGTATCTCTCAATACATATTTCTATGTTTAGCTGATTCTTACTATAAGGTCTGATCTTTTCATAAGAAGAAAATGACATTGAATCAGAAAGAGCTTTTCTTGGGGTTCAGATAAAAAGACAATGCCAGCCTCTGTTTCTTCAATTGTTAAATAGATTGGGAGTGCTGGCTTCTATTCTTTCTCTTCCTACTAAAGCTCTGCCAACACTTCACTTTCAATGTTGTTAAGTTAGGGAATAATGAAACCTTCAAAGTGACAAACCTGATCCATCTGTGAGAATCCTGAGGGGAATTTTCTATTAGTCTCAATTAAACAATTTCTCACAATAAATTTTTCTATTTCTCTTCCAAATCATATAGAAATGACAACTGCGGGATATTCCCCCATGAATGTATAGACAATTTAATACCACAATTCTCAATTTCTGAGGTTCTTCCTATAAAAAGGTACTGAGACGTTTCAGCACTTATCACATACACCTGTTTATATACTTACTACAAATATCTAACACACTTCAAACAGTTCAGGGTCTTTGAGCAGTGGTATTCAAAGTGACCCGACAGCAATTAGAGGTGGCATGTAAATGCCAGAACAGATAAATTTTCATTTGCACTTAGTTTAATCCAGGAAAGAAACATTTAACCAATGAAACAATTATGAACATGAAATGCAAAAAGATAAAATATTACTTTGAGTGGTAGATATAAAATGGAGGCAACAGAAACAGACATTTCTAAGCCACCTAAGATAAAGCTTCATTTCATAATATATCTACAATTTGTAAAAATTCAAAAAACTATCTCATAGTTTCACAGCATATATAAGAAGCTTCAACCAAAGTTGCTTTATTAAGTTTAGTCAAGGGATTCTCATGTTCTTTCTCCTTATCAAGCAGAGCAATCGTAAGCCTGGAGATTTGATTTTTTAAGGCCTTCTCTGAAAAGTCCTCTCATAGACCAAACTGCGTGGAATTGAAATAACCCAAGAGGATGAGAAAGCTGAAATAAGACATATACTTAACTAATTCCAATAACCCTTACATTTCTCCCAAACTGTCTTAAGAGTAACATCCTCTTGTATTACAGGCTTAGTATAATATTAATACAAGAAGGTAATGTAGAAGTATAAAAATTCCCTACCATTATGAATTTATATAACTCAAAAATATTACAGATATTTAAAAGAATACTAAGCCAGACCCTATTAGCTATTTTTTCCAACCCAAATACAACACAACTGCTTTAGACTTGTATTGTTTCAGGCATTGGCCAAAATGAAGAAATAAAGTTTAAAACCTCAAATTAAAAACAAATACCAAGTCAGATATTTAGGGGAAATACTTTGAGACACTTAAATACGGTTAGTCTCAAAATGAGGAGAAATATTTGCAAGCATAGTCTTAAAAAGAGATTCTAATCTAAGAATTCGTATAATCTAATCTACCATTTAGGTAAGGATGGTTTATTTAATCATTTATTATCACTTCAGTGTGCCTCTGTCTTTCTGTGTGCTTCCAGCTAGGCAGGGAGACTCTTAAGAAGACGGGATGTGTATTAATTAGTTTCTTAATCCCAAGAAACCAGAGTGTCTATGGTATAAGGCACCCAAATAAATATCGTTTCATTGAATGAATAAACAAGGTACTGTGGAACTGCATAGAGTATTTCCACTGCTTTGTTGCAAGCTCTACTCTACTCCATATACAGAAATGTCTTTCTCATTATTCTCCAAGCAAGAGATCTCAAAATAACAGCCTCTGAAGGAAAAACTTTAAAAGATATTCAACATCTTACTTATGAAGTTTATAATTATACAAAAGAATTAAAAACAAGTAGAAAATGCATATTTCAGTAAGATGCAAAGTTTATAAGGTCTTAAAATGTGGAAATGTATAACCATTCCCATCCTGAATATCTTGTAGGAAATGAATGTATAAATGGATGGTATTTTAAAGACACATTAAGGCAAGAAAGCATTAACGTCAGAAGCAAGGTAAATCGCATCTTTTTGAATTTTTTTCTAATTGCATTAAAAGCACAACAGCTACTGCTTCACTTCTATGTTTCTAGTGTTTAAGTCAAACGAAATATATAGACCAATACACAATGAAAAACATAGCAAGAAGAAACTTTAAACACCAATTTGTCCACAGTAATTGCCTTCCCATCTTTCAGTCACTGAACTCTCTTTTTCAGGTTCCACCCCAACTACTCTTCCCAGTACAAAGCACCTTTCCCCGTGCCCATGAGGGCCAAAAGCCTTTCCAGAGATTTAAATCTCGTTAAGTAGCCACTTTTGCAGCCATTCCCAACTTGAGGGAAACCTTTCCACTGAGATTAACTCAGAATTTGGTCAGTCCCTGCTGCCCACTTTGGGAAAAAATGTGGGAGAAAGAAGAACAAGAAAAATAAAAGCAAAACTCAACTGTATGCTCCAGATGTACCTACTACACCCTATCCAACCCCTTTCTTTCCTCCAGTTCTGGGCTCTGGACAGGTGGGAGGGGATGAGTCAGGATGCAACTAACTTTCCTCCACCACCTCATTGCCACCCCCACCCCCACCCCCCAAATCCAGCCCAACTGGTAACTGAAACCACCAGGTAAGGCTGCCTGCATCCCCCTCCCCCCTTGGGAGAGGCATGGGATGGGGAGGACGAGGGGCGCGTGTGGGCGGGATGGAGGTGGGGGTGTTCTGAACTACAACTCTCCTTACCACTGGAGCGCCTGACGATGTTCTCCAAAAATGTGTTCTGCGGTGCCACCAGCCCTCTCTTGCCCCCCGGCATCCTGGGTGTGGAGAGCAGCGGCCAGGATCCGCGGCGGGGGAGGGGGGGATGCAGGAAGAGAAGGTGGAGGAAGAGGAGGAAAAGGTGGAAGAGAAGACTGAGCCGAAAGAAGAGGGGGCGCGGCGGCGGCGACGGGGTCCCCTGACTGTGTCTCCAGCCCGACCCGGATGAGCAGCTCTGGGGAGGAGGACCAGGCAGTTCATGGTAGTAGCGCTCCCCCGGCCGCCGCTGCCCAGACTGTGGCGGTGCCGCACACGGGGCTCGGGAACTGCAGGCTCCGCGGGGCACAGTGCGCCTGCGCCGCCCCCGCTGTCGCTGTCCCGCCGGTGCTGATGCTGAGGCTGCTGCTGAGGCTGCTACCGCGGCGGCAGGCGCCCGGGCGCGGGCTCCGCATCTCTCCCCCTGCCCCGCGCCCCAGGGCCGGGGGAGCGCAAGAGCAAACTCAAGCCCCCACTCCCCCAGGAGCCCCTCAGCTCACACCGAGACCCCTTTCGTTTCCCGCGCCTTCGTCTCCGGGTCTCCTCGCCCACCCCCTAGCGCAGCGAGCTCCCCGCCGCCCAGCGCAGCCCAACTTCTGCCGGGCTGTGCGCCTGGCGGTTGCTCCTCTCCCCGGAGATCGAGGCGAGCGCTCGCGGTCCACTCGGGCCCGAGGAGTGGGAAAGGCGGGTGCCCGAGAGAGCGGTGGCCAGTCGGAGGCTCACATCTCAGCGTCTCCCGCTCGGGTCCGGGGCCGGGCTGCTGGCGCGGACGCTGCTACCGGGGCGGAGGTGCGGACCGGCTCGCGCTCCAGCCAAGGCTGAGAGCCGGGCAGGGACTGGCTGGTCGGCGCGCGGGGACGCAGAGCAGCCACCTGACGCTGCTACCGCCCCCCTCCGGGCTCCGGCGCCCGAAACCTTCCTGAACACTGGCGCTTTCCGCACCGCCCTACCCCTCCCCCGGAGCGGGAGCGCGGGCTCGGGAGTCCGAGCGCGCGGCAGGCTCCCGGAATGGCCCCGGCGACCCGGGCCGGGCTGGGCGTGTTGGGGGAGCGGGCGGCCGCCCGGGGAGCTTCCTTCAGGACCGCTGAGCGCAGGAGGCGAGCCGCGAGCCCGCCACCGCTGCAAAGTTCTGGGGAAGGTTGCACTTGATGCGAAGAGTAGGGGGAGAGGGTGAATAATTCCCACCCGAGAGACGGAGAGTGAGGCGGGCAGCGTTAGCGATGGAGAAACGGTAGAGGCTGCGGGGGCGAAGATGCGCCAGGGTGAGGCAGGGCAGGAATCGCCTCTAACAACTCCTCCTCCCCTCCAAATCCCAGGTGTTGAGAATGGACAGGAGTGGAACCGTTACAAACAGTCCAAAAGCCTGAATGTGCCACGGAGAAGGGAAAATGGCATAAGTGCGAAGCGGGCAGAGAGAGATGGAAAGGAAAGAGGAGCCCACGCCGAGGCACCTCCTTTGATCTAAGGCAGTGGTTTTCAGAGTGGCCCGGAGTGGCAGCATCCGCATCTGCACCGCCTAAGAACTTGTTTAAAATGCAAATTATTGGATTCTACCCCAGAGTTAGGGAACCAGGAACTCTGAGGATTGGGTTGACCCATCTGTTTTAACAAGCCCTCCAGGTAAATACGATAAGTGTAAGGCGTCCTCTCTTCTCCAGGGGCTGCACCTGGGCCTGTCAAAAAAGGACGATTGTGTAAACAGGGTCAAAGAGAGGGGGACCAGAAGGGCACCGCCCCGGAGTCAGTGGTTGGTGGTGGAGCGAAGTCTTGAGTGCTGAAGGCGAAAGAATATTTGGATGGCTGCGTCCCCTTTTGCTGGGGTCACAACGTGCTAGAGGAGAGGTAACTGCATTAGAAATTATCAGATTACCAGAAGCAGGGGGAATCCCCAGGCAGGGGTCCGAGTACACATCTCAGCACCTGTCCTTTTTTGGAACCCTCTAGATTACCAATCACTGACCTCAAAACTGACCTCAAGACAAGACCTAACACTCTCTCACTGCCTCTTTCTTTCTCTCTCCCCCTCTCTCTCTCTTCCCCCCCTCCTGCTCTCTCTCTCCTTTCTCCTCTTTCTCTTCTCTCTCTCCTCTCTTCTCTCTCTTTCCCTCTCTGAAATTTTCAGAGCCCAGGCAGCTGAGCAAACCCAGAAGGTTGACACAAGGCAATTTTATTCCGCTAAAAATATTTATGCAGAAAGACCAAGAGACTCCGTGGAATACCACTAGGCTATTCTAGCTTTCCACAGGAAGCACTGCTGGCATGGAGCTTATCCCCTTACAGTTAAAATGTCTAAATACATCAGGTGTGTTTAGTTCAATAACAAGCGACTCAGGTGCAGACTGAATCTGTAGTGAGCTTGCCACAACAGCACTCAGAGATATGGCCAGGTTACAACTCCCTCCTTGCAGTTGGTAGGAAAAACTGAAACCGCCATCACCACAGCAACCTTAAACATGTAATTGAGTTTCCCACTCTATCGAGTCTTTTGTGACCTGTGTTCAAATGATCCTAATCAGCTATTTATTGGCTGGGTTGGTGAATAGGCAGGCTTATTTTTTAAGCATGTATAATTCATTGCTATTCTAGACTTCCATCATGCTATAATAATTCCATCATCATCATTAACAGAGCATATTTCAAATCTATATGTTCTTTTGCATATCATCAGCTGCCCACATCTCACCTATGGGTATTGATTTCAAATCTCAGCTTCTCAGCGTTTCCCATCTAGTATGTATATGTTTATATTTATATATATATATATATATATATATATATATATATATATATCCTTGTCCTAATGATTCCTCTGTGGGTGTATTAGCTCACATTTCCCAAAGAGGAAATTATTTTGGACTCCATTAAGACACAGTCACAAAGTTACTGGTAGAACTTCCTTGTTTCCATCTGCAGATTTGATTAAAATGACATTCATCCTTTCTTGTTTCTAACAACTCCATAGCATTATAACGTTTACATTATTTTAATGATCATAAAAATGTGGCAGTTAAGAAGTGTCAAAAGGCTGCATACTTTTCTTAATCTTCTAGTTTAAGTTTTCATTTTATAAAGGAAGAAACCAAGACCCCCAAAAAAATGAAGTATCCTGTCCCAGATGACACAATGCTTTAGAACAGCCTGCACTGAAACTAGAATCAGGTCTCCTCACCCTGTAGCCAGAGCTCCTTGTAAATAATAGAAAATAACCTAATCTTAGGCTACTGTGGTAACAACAAGCAACATCAAGGATCTCTACTGCCATCACTGATTTTGCAGCCCATGAGAATAGAAACCCCTGGCAACCGTTGAGAACTGATTGGGAACTTGCAACTGTTCCTAATCAAAATAGAGTCAAGGAAAATCGAGTGGCAGCATCATATAGACTGACTGGCCTTAAGGAAGGTGCTGGCCAATTTCAACAGGGTGGTAATACAGCATTTTAAAAGAGTGTTGCAGACTCCATATATTGTGAACAAACTACAAGATTTAACAGATGAAAGAGACAGGAATTAGAAAGCTTCAATGTCCCACAAAGAAAGGGCTTCATTTTGTTTTATTGCCAAAATTCCATTTCAAAACAATCATTTGTTCTTTTCTTCTGTCCTTCCGGGTATGGTAATTAGAGAGACGTTGTCTGTGATCACCAAGAATTCCAGTCCCCAGAAGTGTCCACTGACTCCTAAGTCACAGCAGAATGAAAGCTGGCTGAATGAACTGCAGGTGTGTTCCAGTCTAACCGAAACCAATATAAACATGAAGCTTAGAAAACTGATGTTGGAAGTGATGATTTGGAATTACTACTGGTTCACTGAAGGACTCTTTTATCAAATACCCCTCCTCCGAAGATTTTTAAAATACGGTTTACTTAACAGTAGCTGTAATTATATGTAAATTTTCAGAAAATGCATTAGAAATAGGTTCAGTTTGACACTTACTCTTTGATCCCGTATGTGCAAATGATCCAACCACTACTTTCTCGGGAAATTTTTCTCCTAACTCCTACTTTCCGTTTCTGAGCAAACCCCAGTACAGATCCACGTTACAATCTGTAGATGCTAAATGGGTGGCTGTGTTGGAGGAATGGGAAGAAGAAAAAAAGGAAAGGGGCAAAAGTGATTCCCTATCATGGATGGCCTCCAGGGTTGGCCTCACTAGAGCAGTATCACTCCATTCCATTTTTTCCTCCCCAAGCCTCGCTACCTGCCTTTCCCCAAAGCCCTATCCCAGCTCTAGCAGTGAAGTATACAAACATTACTAAATTCCTCTGCATGCACCAAGTCCCACATTTACACCTATATCTTCTGCTTTTTCTCCTATCTGCTGCCCCCACACAGGACCTAAATTGAGAGAAAGCAGACTAGAGACTCAATGCAGGGACTCTGGACCCAGACTACCTGGAATTTAATCTTGCCTCCCTCACTTACTAGCTATATGACCCAGGCCAGGTTATTTAACCACAACTTCCCTTGTTGTAAAATGGGGATAATCATTACCTATTTAATAGTGCTGATACGGAGTGCTAATAGTTACTATTTGAAAGCCACTGCAGACAATATCTGACAGGTAATAAGCACTATGTAAGTGTTTGAAAGTAAGTACATGAGCCTTTTTTTCCCATTCTACTTTCATTTAGTGAACGCTCTAGAAAGTGGTCACTACTGAGGTTCACCAATATCCAGTTGCCTTTTCCTGCTTCTTGAAATTAGTGTGGCTATGAATTAATGCTTGTTAGTGAAATAGGAGTGAGGGGAAAGGGTGTTACTTCCAGGTGAGCATCTAAGAACCAGGACTTATTTTCTCATCCTCCTCTTCCTCTGCCTCAGTGACTAGGGAATGCCAACAAATACAAGGAGAACACCTGCCCAGAAGTTACCTAGACCTGCAGTAGACATTACATAAGCCGGAAATAAACTTTCGTTGTGTTAAGACACTGATAATCCAGCACTATTTGTTACTATGCCATAACCTAGTCTATCTATCCTGGCTGGTATAGGTTATTAACTTGCTTTGGGAACCGGAGATTAGAAGAAGAATAATTCTCCATCCTGACTGCACATTACAATCACCTGGAGACTTTATAAGAGTCCCAAAGCCACAGCCCAGACCAAGTAAATCAAAATTTCCTAGGATGAGTCACAGACATTACTATTTTTTTTAAGTTAAAGTTCCCCAGGTGATTTCTTTTTTTTTTTTTTTCCACTCTATTGCCCAGGCTGGAATGCAATGGCATGATGATTCCGGCTCACTGCAACCTCCACCTCCCAGATTCAAGTGATTCTTCTGTCTCAGCCTCCCAAGTAGCTGGGATTGTAGGACCGTTGCACCATGCTCAACTAATTTTTGTAATTTTTTTTTTTTTTTTTTTTTTAGTAGAGACAGGGTTTCACCATGTTTGCCAGGATGGTCTCAATCTCTTGACCTCGTGATCTGCCTGCCTTGGCCTCCCAAAGTGCTGGGATTACAGGCATGAGCCACAGCACCCAGCCATGATTATCTATATGTATCAAGGTTTAGAACCACTAACGGAGAGCAAGGCTGCATCCTATGGGAATCTCTGGTGTTTCAATACTGTAGCAAAATCCTCAGCTCCCAAGGATCAGACTTTGGTTTCACCTGTCCCACAAAGGCTCTAGTATATGCAACTGTGAGTTTCTCTGTACTTGTATCTGCTGAGCAGCCCAGAAGAGAACCACAAAACCTCTAAGGCTAATGCACCATACATTGAAGGCCTCCAGACTGAACTTGACTTTCTCAGTGCAGACCAGTCCTTCTCTACATCCCTGATCAGCAGTGTCTTCCATTATCTGCTGCAGTTTTTCAAAGCATTTTGTCTCTTT